TCAGAGTTTCCATGCCGAAAGCCAGGATGGATTCCTGTTATAGCAAAATGTTATTTGGTCTTCACAGTATGTCTGTTTTTCTTTCAAGTAGTTGTCAACATTTCAAAAAGATTTCTAGGATGAACTGTGAGGCAGTGCCAGACCTCCTGAACTTCTTATACAGAATAACATTTACCCTTCTGTTCAGAGCAGTGCTGTCCTTAGAACTTTCTGCAGTGATGGAAATGTTATTTTGCTATCTATTACAGCAGCCACTAGCCACGTGTGACTACTGAGCATTTGAAATGTGGCTAGTGTGACTGAGAAACAGAATTTTAAATTTTGTTTAAGTGTCTAAAGCGGCAGTCATGTTGGACACCACAGTTCTGAGCAACCAAACAGGCTCCAGAACTTATAAGATCAAAATAATGCAGTCTGGGTTTCTTCTGGCCTCTCAGACCAAAAACGAGGTGATTAGCTTGGTTTTTGCTTTTGTTTTTATTTTTCAATAAAAAGCAACTCCCATTTGCATTGGATTAATGAGTCTTCTACTCCATCTGCTCCACAAATGCATCAGGGAGTCACTGACCACTTTGGTTAACATATTCCTCACACCTTTGCAGGACTCCTGTCCAGCCTCTCATTCCTGAGCTCCAGACTCATATCTCCAGCTACGTACTTGACCTCTCTACTTGCGTATCTAATGAACATCTCAAACCCGACCTGAGATGTGGCTCCACTCTGCCTTCTCCCCATCAAGCCCCGTGTCAGACACTGATAGCACTCACTCGTATCTGATGTCCCTCTCTTTCTAGGCTATTGGGAGGATTAGACCTCTCAACTTCATTATAGTTAGACAAGGCTACCTGTTCTGGTCCAGGGGCTGCAGGTGGAAGTGGCATGTGTCACTTCCAAGCCATAGCATGTAATTGCTAGTGCAATACCCTGCCGTATTCTTCGTGTGGTATGTGTCTAGGATCCATTTCCTAGGTAAACAGATAGACTTTCCTAATAAAGTCTCGCGTATCCATTCTCATCTTGGAAGACCTAGACTCATACATATGGCCAAATTTATCTTTGAAAAATGCTTCATTTAATGCTGCTCCTCTACATAAGTTGATAGTGGGTTAGCATCAAATCTAAATTTCTAGTCTGTTATTTAATTACATTTAATATTCTGCTAAGAAATAGAAGAATATTTAACTTAAATTTTATATCAGTGAAAATGTCAAAAATCATCCAGATTCAAAAAAGGGAGAAAAGGGAAGGCTTTCATTTTTAAAAGAATAATTTAAAATCTAAAACAATTTGGAGCTTATTTTTATAGTTAAATGTATTCAAAATTTAAATCTCATTTTAGTCTTTTCTGGTCTGGAAGAAAAGGTTAAAGGGTAGAAGGAACAAATCATTATTCTACCTTTTGCTTAGCAAACAGTAGAGAAGAAAATTCTATCTGCTACTCAGATTTAAGTCCAGAAATACTCTCAATTAACTAGTATACACGATGATAAAAAGAAAAACATTAAAAAGTTTAAACTCATACATCGTTCTTTGTTGAGCCTCATGACCAGTTTTGATGGTGTTTATCCTAGAAGCCAGTAGAAGTGGTCTTTCTTACTGTGTTAAACATCCTTTAGAGAATGGAATTGTATTTGGAGATGAGTTTATGAATGGATACCACTTTAGTCTTCCCTCCCAAATCTGGCCCTCCCCTAGAGGTGTTTGCCTTCCAGCTGTTCAAGTTAAACATCTGGAAGTCATGTTGACATCTCGCTCTCAGTCATTCTTCACCAGGTTGCATTGATTTTACCTTCCAGACGGACATCTTTCCAGTATAAATCTCACTTCATCTCTGCTGCAACCTCCTTGTCTCTCACCTGTCCTCCTGAAGCATCCTCCTAACTGCTGCTCCTCCTGCATCCACTGTTCCACACACTTTTTCCTAAACCTTACAATGAACTTTTAAAATCTAACTGTGCTCTTCCAGTGCTTATCATGATGCTTTTCAAATAAAACCAAAAATCTTGAACTAGCCTACTAGACTCTGATCTGCCTTCTGCCTACCTCTCTACCTTTAAAAACAGCTGTATTTCAGATTAGGCTTACCAACATGTGGGGATACACCTAATATAACAGTGGCTTTAAGACAACAGAATTTATTTATTTTGTAAATATGCAACTCAGGGAGCGGCGTGGCAGATTCATGGTCTTTCAGGTTGTAAGTGTCTCTGATCTTTATGCTTTGCCATCCTCATCATGAAACTGCCACCTTATGGTCTAATGGCTGCTTTAGCTACATCATCACATCTGTATTCTAGCCAGGAGGAAAGAAATGGCAAGTCCTCTCCCTTCAAGAACATTTTCTGAAGCAACCTCCATTACTCGCACTGTTTCACTAGTCAGAACTAAGTCACATGGCCATCCCCAGCTGCAAAGAAGACTGTTATAGGCAGCCCTGTGCATAGCTAAAATCCAGGGCATTGTTGCGGAGGGAAAAGGAGGATACATTTTGGGGAACCTCTTAGCAGTGTCTATCACAAGAGCTAAATCCTTATTTTACAGAGTGGAATTTGAGTCAAAAATGTCTGATATAGTAAAATTAAGAGATAGCACGTAAGCATATTATTATTAGAAATATGGAGGCAAATACTAGAGGAAATGGCTAAAGTGATTGGAAGTGGTTTCCTCTAGGAGGCAGGAACAGAGTGGGGCAGGGAACTGCATATGCTTATTAAGCTTTGCAGTACTGTTTTTTTTTTTCCTTCTTTGAAGAACATATTTATTTGATAAAAATTATGTTTTTTAAAGCCTTAGGCTGTGAGTATGTGTAAGGACTGAATGAGTTTTCCCTGCGGAGCCCCTGAGTTTGTGTCTATATTTCCCACTCACCAGTTACCTCTCAGCGTTTAGTGTTTATGCAAAGGTGATGTTATATGCATGCAACTTGTCAAAGGTTGGAAGATCATAAGAATAGGTTCAAGATATTGGGCCACAAGCACTTCCTCTACTTTTTCTATTATTAAATTAGGGCACCTGGGGTATAAAATTTTGATGAGGCATTAAATGTCTTTGACTTACACATTTTGTCTTATTTTCCTGACCTAGACTGATTTATAAGAAGCTTGTCCAGGAACATTTTTCTAATTGGCAATATCACTCTTTACTTGAAACCCTTTTCATCCTTGATTGTTTTGTGACAGGGGAGGCAGGCAACATAAATTACAAACTGCAGGAGATTGTTTACTCACAATATACAGACACCGAGGCCCAGAATGAGAATGAGAGAAAGAACCTGAAGTTGTGAAATTCCACAGGCTGGCAAGATAAATCTCTGTTGATCAAAAAGAAAAAAGCAAAATATTTCATCTAAATGAAATACTGTGAGACTTGAGAAATGATTGCCTGTTTTTTATGAGAAATACATCAAATCTTACAATTGCAAACCTTAATGGGTTTTGTTTGTTAAACATTTAGGACAAGAGGAGTTGTTGCTAATGAGAAACAAAGGTCTGAAAAGAAAAGCAATCATTGGGCTTGTATTTAATCACTTTTTATTTTCTCAGATCTCAATCATGTCATTATCTGGCTTTGGTGCTCACATAACTTAATTAGGAGAGTTCAGGCAGCAATAGAAATAGAGGGCAAAATGAAAGGGTAACAATTTAAGTGGATTGCCTGCAGATGCCTGGTATGGATGGAGATAAAGCCTATTAAGGACCTAATTCTAGAAGAAGCTGTTGACATTGATTATTTGTGAAAAGGAGATGTTTTTTCTGACCTACATCATGGTGTTCTACACTGATGTCTACAAACCTTAAACATTGGTACATCTTTTCATCAGCTTGTGGAATTACTAAAATGAAGCCACTTTGAACGAGCAGACAACATTATTAACTTTGACAGGAAATGAAAATTTGGTCTTAATATCCATGTGAAATTGAATTGTCTGTAGCACAAAGCTTTGGAGATTACCCATGCAAAATGAGAAAACTATCTAAATTTAAAATTGTCCTCAGTACAGTGAAAAGTAATTTTGCAGACTGTATTTTTACTGCATTGAAATCCGTGAAGAGATTGGCTCTATTAATTTAGATTTAAACAGAGGCCCTGTATCTTCTAAAAATGGTCAATGAGATGGAAAATGTACTTTAAAGGGAGAAATGAGTTTCTGGAAATGCTGCAGACAGCCTCCCTACTCCACATCTTTGAGTCTGCCCTGAGACCAGGCGGCTTCAGAGGGAATGCTCTGTCTACTGTGACAGGCATTTAGAATAAGAACATGCAGACGACACCTCAATTACATATAGCTTCAAGAGTAGGATAAGAAGCAAACTGAGTAAGGCCCTAAAGCAAGTTATGCTTTTACAGTATAGTTCCTAAAGTGGCTAGGTCCTCAACAGAGAAAAGAAAAGAAGGAGGAATTGAATTTATTCTCTCAGATCTGAAATAATTTAATAGTTTTCTTATAGTCCCTGCCTGGAATAATACTGTTTAGGGTAGGGGATTTGGTTATGCTACGTACCTTCTCACGTGAAAAATTATCTTCTGTATGAAGAGAAATGAATTTTTCATTCTCTAGTCTTTGAATTTCTTTAGCTCACAAGAAAAAACACTTCTGGTTTATTAAGTAAGTTATTATTTGTTAAATTAATAAGTGACTCTATTTGGAAGCATAATTTCAATGGCCTCATTTTACCATTAAGAAGAATACATTAACACAATAGCCAGAGTGCGACAAATATTACTAATAAACTTGAGTTTAGAGTTCTTAGCAGATCTTAGAGTTCATATTATTTAGAGTTTTACTAATGAGGAGACTAAGAACAAGTAAGTATTTGCCTATAACTGGTTCTTTGACCTGCTTGGTAATAAAGCTGAGTCTAGAACACAGATCATCTGAACTTTCAGGTAGTTTACGTGTTTGTTGTGGCTTATCAAAAATCAACACTACTGAGCTGACAGCACACCGAAATAATAGTCATTTTTTCTTATTTTTCCATTATTTTATTTTTCCTTTTCAGGTATTGCTGTACTTTACTTACATCTCCATGATGTATTCGGGGACCCTGCCTACCTCCAGATGGCACATGGCTATGTAAAGCAGAGTCTGAACTGTTTATCCAAGCGTTCCATCACCTTCCTTTGTGGGGATGCAGGCCCACTGGCAGTGGCTGCTGTGGTGTATCACAAGATGCACAATGAGAAGCAGGCAGAAGATTGCATCACTCGGTAACCATGTTTCTTTTTGAGGATGTTCTATCTAGCCATCATTGTACATTAATTCTGTGTGTGTGTTAACAAAAGAACATTTTAGTGAATTTACTTTTCTCTCAGCAATAAATCTTAGTACTGTCATTTGATCAATTCTCACATTATTCCTATGTTGTAGTTAAGGAACAGCCACTATAATCTCTATTTTATTGCAAGATATAATGACACCAACACATTCCAGATCAAACATCACTTTCAGGAACAAAAATGAAATCAAAAGCATAATCATGTGATTACTAATCCAAAGTGCTATCCAAGATCAAGACTTTGAAAAAATTCAGTTCACTTCCCGTGGTGTGTTGAGAGAGACCTCCTCAGGGTACACGGACTGATTCAAAACGGCTTTTCTTAAGGACAAATGATATGCAAATCCAGACTTTCATTTTTAATTTAAATCCGAGCAGCCCACTAGAAACTTGTGAATTATAAAGAATTACCAAACTTTTATACTAATAAATTACAATTATTTCTTTACTGGAGTTTATTGAACACTTTCAGAATTCCACTAAGAAATCTGGCTGCCATGCAACTCTGCATGCAGTACTATTCAGTTCCCACTGAGCATGCTGACATACGGAGAGTTACAATTCCAGCAAAGGTTTTTTGTTTTGTTTAGTTGTTTAATAGGCCTTACTTTTTAGAGCAGTGGATTCACAGCAAAATTGAGAGGAAGGTATAGAGATTTTCCATGTCCCCCCTGTTCCCACACATGCACAGCTTCCCCCAATAGCAACATCCCCCATCAGAGTGTTAACACTTGTCACCATCGATGACCCTTTATTGACATGACATTATCACCCAAAGTCCACACTTTACATTAGGGTTCATTCTCGATGTGGTACGTTCTATAGGTTGGACACATTTGTAAGGACGTGTTGCCATCATTATAGTCACTCAGAGTAGTTTCACTGCCCTAAAAATCCTCTATGCTCTGCCTATCAATGCCCTCTTCACTTCTCCCTAAGCCCTGGCAACCCTTGCTTTTTCTGCTGTCTCCATAGTTTTGCCTTTTTCAGAATATATTGGATTCGTACAGTATGTAGCCTTTTTAAATTGGCTTCTAGCACTTAGTAATATATGTTAAGGTTCCTCCATGTCTTTTTATGGCTTGATAGCTCATTTCTTTTTAGCACTAAATAATATTCCATTGTGTACCACAGTTTATCCATTTACCTACTGAAGGACATCTTGATTGCTTTCAAGTTTTGGCAGTTATAAGCTGCTATAAACATCCATGTGCAGGCTTTTATGTGGACTTAAGTTTCCACCTACTTCGGGTATATACCAAGGAGTGTGATTGTTATGGTAAGGATATGTTTATTTTTATAAGAAACTGCCAGACTGTCTTCCAAAGTGGCGATACCATTTAGCATCCCCACCAGCAGTGAATGAGAGTTCCTGTTGCTCCACATCCTTGCCAGTATTCGGTGTTGTCAGCATTCTGGATTTTGATATTTCTAAGAGGGGTATGGTGGCTTCTTCTTATTGTTTTAATTTGCATTTCTTTCATAACATATGGTGTGGAGCATCTTTTCATATCATCTGTATATCTTCTTTAAAGAGGTGTTTAAGATCTTTTGACCATTTGGGTCCAGAAGTATTTTAATCAGCGATTGTCCCTAAGTTGACAATGTTTTTTGGTTCCCATTATTCTTTCTTATAAATTACTGTTAGAATAGTATTATCATTACCGATTTCATTTATTGGGGATCCTTTGGTTAATCTTACATGGTGAGATGATGTGTATTTCAACAATAGGCTTTGGCCTAGAATTCTAATAACTAGACTTTTGCCCCCTTAAATTATATTATGAAAATTTTTAAACATATAGAAAAGTTGAAAGAATGGTGAATACCTGTATACCTACCACATAGATTCTGCTATTAATATTTTACTGTACATGCTTTATTACATACCTATCCACGTGTCCATTCCACTTTCCATTAGTAATCTTTTGGTGGGGAGGAGGGTGGTTGCCTACATTTCAGAGTAAATTTCAGACATCAGTATACTTCCCTTTTAAATACTCAAGCTTATGTGTAATTTATTAGAGTTCAGTATCTGTTTAGAATTTTCTTCCTTTGATGTAAACTTCATACATAATGAGTTGTATGAAGTTGTTCAGGTTTTAAGTGAACATTTATTGAGTTTTGACAAATGGATGTACCAGTGTAATCCAAATACCTATCAAGGTCTACAATATTTTTCCAAATATTTCTTTCTACCCCAACCTCTCTCTCCTCCTTCTGGAATTCCAGTTACACATATGTTGGGCCTTTTCATACTGTTCTACTAGCCTCTGAGACTCATTTTTTTCAATCTTTTTTTTTCTTCTCAGTTCTTAAGATTAGATAATGTTGATCTTTTCATGAGTTCACTGTCACTTTTATCTGTTATATCCATTCTGTTGTTTAGCCCTCCCAGTGAATTTTTTATTTTAGATACTGGATTTTTTAATTTAGATATTGGATTTTTTAGTTGTAGAATTTCTATTTTTTTCCAATTTCTTTTATTGTGGTAAAATACACATAACATAAAATTTACCATTTTAACCATTTTTAAGTGTACAGTTCAATGGAATTAAATACATCATCAGCATCATCCATCTCCATAGTTCTTTTCATCTTATAAAACTGAATCTGTACCCAGTGAACAGGAACTCCCCATTCGCCTCCATCCCAGGCCCTGGCATCCACCATTCTACTTTCTGTCTCTATGATGTTTTACTCCTCAGAGAATCTCATATAGAGGGCAGTCATTCAATATTTTTTTGTGACCCACTTATTTCACTTAGCATAATGTCCTCAAGTTTCATCAGTATTATAGAATACGCAGTAGGTAGACTTTCTAAGATATTGTGTTATATTAGAAGGACTGATCCATACTCTTGTTGTTTAAGCATATATATACAAATTCTCCCTCTGCCCCCATTTTTCTCTATACAGTGATATTTTCTTATTGTAGCTAACTTTTTCCACTAGAAGGTGTTAACAAGGTTGGTTGGGGGGCCAGGAGTCTTTTGTTCTACCAGTAATGATCTGGGAATCATATTAAATCATGCACCTAATTGACATATACTTCTAAATAACCTTTTTTATACATGCCAGTGCTACATCTGGCAGAGGTTAGAAATTATCTAGTATAACTTAAAAACAAAAAATAATATGTATTTTAGAGGAAAAAACTGTGAACGTTCCGTTCCACTCCAGGGCTGGGAAGTATTTACTATAAAACTTGTCACTAAGCTCGATCAAAATGGCAGGAAAAACAAAACTGTGATTTCCCCAAAAGCTTAGTTAACACATGTGTTCCTTCCATGGCAATTAACTTATATAAAGCCAACCAATACAAAAACTGTTCCATACCCATCTGAATTTGAAATACAGAAACCACCTTTTTATTTTTTTGCATAAATAAAAAGCCATTAGCTACACATCTGCTTTCGAGGTTCACAAGAAAGCCTCATTCAGTCAATCTGTCTTAAGTATCAGAAAAATAAATTGTAGTGGTCCCAATATTTTATATATAATCCCAGCCTTTTTCATAGATGTACAACCAAATACTAATAGTTTGCCATGTAAAGCATGTTAATAGGTGATAATAGGTGTTAAATACAAGATGTGTATACTTCAGTATGTTGGGGAAAACACTAATTAAACAACATTAAATATGCACCTTTACTGTCTGCTCAGAGTTTTCAGCAACTCAGAATGGAAACTCCAGCTACTCGAGAAAGCAGAATTTGCCAAACTTATGTAGACAACCCTTTTCCTCATGACATCTTAAGGCCTATTATTCTATGAAATACTCTTTGGGGAACAATACTATATATTAATATTAGTTTATTATAAAACACTCAGGGATAAATTTTAAAAAATTGTATATACCTTAATAATAAGGTGTTTTTGTTATTTATGTATTTTTTTTTAATTTTATGACATTTCAACATTATTTTATTTATAACCAATAGATTTAAGATTAAAAATATAGAATGTGAACATATGGTAGGAAAATGTGTTCTTTGTGGCTACAGCTTTGATTTTTTAGATTTCTGGAGTTATGGCAGAGGAGGAAGAAAAAAAGATTATTTGTGAGTTAGTTTCACATCTCTTTTCAATTCAATTTCAGGAAATCCAAAATTATTTGGTGTCATCAGTTATTTAATAAACCTACTTGTTTGTTTTACTTTTTACTGAAACTTCTTCCTCATACGACACAGTCCTTTTGAGATATCACAGAATCAGATTCTCTGTGTGGCATCTGTCGTACTTCACTGCCAACATCATATTTCAGCTTACCTTTCCTATATTTCCTTAATATAGTGAGATCAACAAAAGTCTACTCCTTAGACAAGGAAACGGAAATACAAAGAAATCAGTGTTCCCTTAAGATAAAGACTCTTAACTTTGGGGCCCTAAGAATTCTAGGGCTTCTGGAGGTATGTAAAACCCCCAAATTGCATTCAGCGTGGAGAAAGTACTTACACTTTTCTTGAAAGGATCTGTGACCCCCAAAAAGGGTGTGTGTGTGTGTGAGAAAGAGAGATATGTTTTCAGATTGTCCAGCATTTGGCCTTTGGTGGCCATGGCCTTGGGGATAAGGTGGGAAATAGCGGTAGTTCTTCCTGGTGCCTGATTTATTTGTAGGTGTCCGTTTTCACCCTTCCCTCTACAAAGAGACAGTTAGTGCCATTACATGAATAGAAAGCACTGCCTGTTTGGTGCCCAATTAAGTGACTAACCTGACGTATATAGTGCTTTGGGGCCAGTACTTAGAGTGATGAAGAACTTTGGTGTTCTGGTCAGAAAATATATAACCTCTCTCTTGTAGTGTGATGAGTAAGAAAAGGACTTCTTTTTTAAAAAAAGAAGTCAAACTTCTTTTGATGGTAACAAGGCAAAAAAATTTTCCCCAATAACACCCAGGGGAAATATTGCTAGCAGTGAAACAGAACTATCCAGCTCTTATATGTCTTTATTCTTCCTTCAGTGATGTTTCAGCAACTTGTCTCTTCTGAAGATTGGTTGCTATTACTATCAACATATTAAAACAAATAAATGGAGCTGCAACGATATGCTTCTGGGTTTGAGAGTTTCTGAAAACACTTAAAATAACCATTATGATTTATAAATCTATCATTTCTTTATCTTATCTTAGAATATAGCATGTAAAACATGCACTTAAAAGTCTTGCCTTTCGTAATTCATCGGACCCAACTAATGAGATTTAATGACTTAAATTCAAATCCAGAAAAATCAAAATGGAATACTTTCTTATCCTAAACCGTAAAGTACTATTTTAACGAGATGCTCTAAGCAATTCTTTATTTTCAAGTATTTGAAAGGTATTTGCTACCTACTTTGAACTTCCCAAATGCAAATGAATTTGGCTGCAAAATAATTGGAATGCTAATTATATATCTCCACCTAGTGGTAATACAGGTCATAATGGTGGCAAATAAAAGGTATTTTCTAGTATAGTGGTTCAAACATATAATAATTGAGAACATCATTGGAGTTAATGCTTAACTTCTATAGTACAGTGTTTGGTTAAAAATCATGATAATTTCTCGTTTTGAATAGTTTTTTAAATCTTTGCAAAAGTAAATCAGAAGTTATTTTTATATCTAAATGCTATGTAATTTGATACATTTATGTTAAAATTTGATAATAAGTTCATATTAAGCCTGATACATTCATTCTGTTTACTATAATAGCTGAGTTTGTATCTAGTAAACAGATTTTATTTTCTTAAGGTCTCAATGTTTTGAGCTGCCAGTTCCGACATTAAAAAAATAATTTTTCTTAAATGTTTTTAAGTTTTTTAAAAATATTAGGGGTGTGTGTATGTGTATGTGAGAGTTATACTGAAGTAAAAAACAAAATGTCCCATAATTCTACTGTCCATATAACTCAATCTCTTACCACTATAGCCTTATACTTAACAATAACCACTCTTCCACTGTGAGTTTTAATGCCTGTATTTGTAGAAGGAAAAAAAAATGCATGAGCCATCATTTGCATTTTAACCAGTTTGATTGAGATGCCTCCATTTGTTGAGATATAACATGGAAAAGTTTAACTTTGTCAGTAACTGCAACTAGCCGTGCTTTTTCAAACCCCCCTTTCCTACTGGGGAGTAAGTTCCCTTAAGGACGCTTTCAGAACTTTTTCTCAGTCTCTCTCAATAAAATCATCTCATTCTGGTTATTAAAGCATGTCGTCTTCATTTTAAATTGTAAGTGTTCCCCTTCTCTTACCACAGGCTTATGGAAGCAGTGAGGAGGGGTTGGAAGGGGACAATTATTTTCTCTTTCACAAGTACCCTCCTTGGGTGCTCTGACTCTCTTCACTGTACCTATTGCTGTACAGCCTGGTGGTAGCAATTGTCAAGTTTTTGTTTGCTCATTCGTTTTTGGCTTTTGTAGATATTGGTAGCCTCCAGAGAGTAGAAGGGCTGTATCCCCTCAGCTATAACCTTACCACTAAATGTGTTAAAATGAAAGCACAAGCAGTTGACCAAATTCTGCCAAATGTACATTGATTAGAAAGGAGAAACACACACGTACACACAAGTGGCCCTCTGCCCTGTTCTTATGGCTCAAAGAAAGCCACATTGTCCTTAGGCCCTTCATCTTATTCATCAAACATGGTAGAGCCTGTACCATCTGCCAGACCCCCCATCCCCCACCGCCTGCATCTTCACCACTCATTCCACCAATGAAAAGTCATTTTGTAACATTCCTTACTAGACTTGTTAACAAATCATTGGATGTAGATTTTGATAAAGTTATTTGAAGGCCAAGTATCTCTGAATGTTGGTTAGAGTACTTCACGTATAACCAGTCACCCCAGGGGTGTGAGTTTTGATACCTCAAATGTTAATTAACCGTTGCTAGTGTACGGACTAAAGTAGATGAGAGATACATGCACAAGCACTGTTTATTCTTAACTACTTTAAAAATAAATTTACACAGACAGCTTAAGAGAATTTTTTTAATTGGAAGGGACCGTTTATTTTATAGATGAGAATTTTAAAGTACAGAGATTAAATATTAAGTTTAGTGCAGGTTTAGTGTCATAAGCTACCTGACGACAAAGCCATTGTTTGGTAGGGCTAATATACTCTCCTAATTACTTCTTTCTAGAAACTCCCTGGCTCTTTCCTAATATCGTTTTGTGAAATTTCACAAAAATTAAGTTTTAATAACTTAAACAGTGTAATATTTAATTTATAGGATAATTTAGAGATAAGTGAGATGTGCTTTCAAAATTACATATGATAAAATCTAAAATGGCAAGGACATTTTTCCTACATATATTTGCTGTTCCCCCTCCTCCCCCCAAAAAAATAATAAAGGGGAAAAGGCTTTTTTTTTCAGAGTTTAGACTACATATATGGTCACTTTCCCATGCTCATCTCCCTCTCTGAACTCCACCTACTTTCTGGTAACCTGGGGCTTCCCTTTTTGGTCTTCTAGAAAGAAATTTGAGGCTTTGGTTACCCAACTCTACCATGTACTTCCCACAATGATGCCTACATCTGGCCAACTGATGGGGAAGCTAGAGTGAGAGGTGAAGCCAGGGGAGCTCACTGCGCCTTCCCGAGACGGGCTCCCTGATCTGCGAGGAAGGTTCTTCCCTCAGTTTTGACTCCTCTGGGCTCCTGCTTACTTTCACTTCTGACACCACCATTGCAATTGCTTGTGGCTTGGGGCGTGAAAAAACAGAGAATAAAAAAAAGAAAATAAAGAAAAATTAGGTGTTTTACCCACTCTCTCTGATATCAGGAGTTCCCCTTCTCATTCTTTCTTAGGGCAGACAGAACTAAAGGGCTGCTGGGGCTCTCTGTCAGCCCGTTGGTGCCCACTTACAGGGTTCAAGCTGTACTGAGTTCAGCCCAGGGTAATGTCAGAGGGGAAAATATGGTTAACTCACCGTTGGTTTGGAGCTCCTTCAAATTCCAGTCTTCTTCCCCATTCCACTGCTACTGTTTACTTCTCAGAGTCCTCAGATAGCTGCTTCGGGCATTCTCACCAGGTTTGGGAGCTGCATCTAGAAGGAGATACAAAGTAGAGTGTGCTTACTCCATCTTACCTAGAACTGATAAAAAATAACATCGAGAAGCAGAATCGAGTCTATCAATAGGGAACTAACAAATTATAATACACCCATTCTATGGAATACTAAACAACTATGATAAAGAATAACACTACTCTGTATGTGCTGATAGGGAATGGTTGTCAAGGTGTATTGTTAAATAGCAAGGCACAGATCATTTGGAGAGATACATTTACAAATATGTATATTTCGCTTATATGTGCATCACATAACTCGAGGAATATATAAGAAATTGGTAACCATGATTTTTTTGAAAAAAGAAGGACTAGAAGCTGGGAGACTGGGGACATGGGAACACTGACTGGTACCTTTATGTCACTTGCGTGCATTATCAATTGTGGTAGACCAGGCCACTGTACAGACACTTCAAGTAGGACTGCTGACGTGCTAAGAAATAAGCCAAGGGAGGAGATAACAGGGGTGCAGCAAGCATTTCATTTTATGGAGATAGATGGCCCTTTGAGTATTGACTTAGTCCTTTCTCCAGGCTGAATGCCGTAATAGCCAACAGTTCTTAGCTTCTCAGACCCCAGCTGCTAGTTTTAGGGCATATCCTCCATGAGGATTAGGTAGGCTCCAAGTAGCCTCAGCCGTGTTCATGTATTCTTTCATTCTTCGAGCATCTATTTTGACAGTCCCATTGTAAACTGAAGAAAGGAAATTGAGTTGAGGGTTAATCTTTGAACCCTGACTACACTTTGTGCTTTGACCTAGCCCACTTAATATTTAATAAAACCTATAGTAATTATAATTATATTAAATTTTTAAATATGCAATAATTCAATTTATAATCATTCATATATATTTGTGTGTATGTTTTTTAAATGTACCATGTTTAAGTATATACAACTATCCGATCCTTTTCAAATTATCCTAGGCATGTATTTTTCTTTTCAGGCTAATTCACCTTAATAAGATTGATCCCCATGCTCCAAATGAAATGCTCTATGGACAAATGGGCTACATCTATGCTCTGCTCTTTGTGAATAAGAATTTTGGAATGGAAAAAATTCCTCAAAGCTATATTCAGCAGGTACCATGTTTTTGTGCTTTTTTGAGTCTTTTTCAGGATCCCACTTACTATCTGCCTAGACTGTTGGTTTTATTTCTCCAGTTAGCACATCCCAAGTAGCTCGAGGTGTATCTTGACCTCTGAAGGTCAAGCATGATCAGAGAACCAACAGCTACACGCTGAAGGCTGTTGGAAACACGGTAGAGAGTGGCTCAATAAGTAGTCCAGCCTGCTCTGTTTGAGAGTTTAGAGGCCGTTTCAGAAGAAAATGAGGGTCAGATTTTACCTTCCAGGTGCAGGTGTCTCTTTTGGTGCCTGAAGCAGTTTATGCTTTCCTTTGACAAGTAAGTTCTTGTAAGAGCTAGTGAAAAGAGTTCAAGATCCTCCATATCCTCCCCTTTTTAGAAAGAATACAGTCACACCTGCTTCTCTGAGTGCAGAATTAAACTGTGCCTTTCCACGGCCTAAAAGATAGTGTCTAATTTGCCACATTACCCAGTATATCTCAGCAAAAATTTCTTAACCTCCATCAGGAGTGTTTTTCCTCTAATTCTCTCATTATTTTGGTTGGTTTTCACCCTGTAGATTTGTGAAACAGTCTTAACATCTGGAGAAAACCTAGCTAAAAAGAGAAACTTCACAGCAAAGACTCCACTGATGTATGAATGGTACCAAGAATATTATGTGGGGGCTGCTCATGGCCTGGCAGGAATTTATTACTTCCTGATGCAGGTAAGAGGTGACGGTGAGACTTTAAAATGTGCTTTCTGATTGTACTGTCTAGGGTCAGAAGATAGGTACTCTTGTTTTATTCTGTCATCTACTGCATCACTCTCCTTATAATTACCTGGCCTAGACAAATAAGGGTAATGGTTGCCAAGGTGTATTTTCAAGTGTATAAATATAAAAGGCACTGTGCTTTGAGATGACATTTGATTTGTAGGTGACCATGCGTGCCCGCTTAGGTCCACTTGTCCAGACTAAAGTGTTTTGACCTATACTTCTATATGAAGTGCCTTCTGTTCTTTTCTTTCAGCAAATACTTTGAATTAAGAATGTTATAAGCATAATCCATTGAAGCAAATTCCAGGAGTAAGAACAAAATCAATAGAAAACAAATGAACATACGTTGCCTCAGGCTCCCTTAAAGAACAAAGCTAAGGAGCCTTTCCAGTGGATTTTGTATAACCTACCCAAAAAATAGCTGAATAGGCTATGCTCAACAGTTCTTAAGATCTAATACTATCGAGGGACATCAGCCAAAGTCGAATAGACTAAGAACAAATAGAATTTACTGCAGCCAGCATAATCTGGGAGGGAGGTCAGAAGAGCACTTCTCAAGGGAGCATCATTTCTGGATCTTACTTAGTTCCCTATAAGGAGGAATTGGCACTTGTAAATAAGAATCGATGGCAAAAGAAAATTGATTTTTAATGGTAGCAAAGGTGCCCCCATCACCTTCCCAAAGTACAATGTGACATAAAGAAAAGTGTTTCGTTAATATGTTCAACATGAGTGCTTGGACATACATACTACTAGCTGGTTGAATAGCTGGCTATAATAATGCAAAATCGATGTGAGACCTGCCCTCTCTCCATAACTAAACAATGACAGTGATGCTGAAAAACTCAAGGTCATTATTGGTTTTGAATGCAGAGTCACACTTTGAGGGTCAGTAGCAGTAAGAGACCCACTGTTGTATTTAAGAGTTCTATAATTAGGAATTTTGACAATTTAGACTTAAATTACTTTATTTTTCTAGCATATCCCCTCATTGGCTCTCTATTAGCAGAAATAAATATCGATTCTTAAAAGTTTTCAGGAAAAGAGAGTTCATGTCTTCTGAAGTTTTAAGGTGAGTTAGAGTCACACATGTCAGTGACTAGACAAGCACATGACTTTTCCTTGAAGCAGATTGTCAAGGGCATCTTACCCTCTGTCTCCTTTCATTGTCTAGTAGGAAATCCGGAAACCCAAGTACTAAGTTTTTAATTGGCAGATTATTGTCTGTTTAAAATGATTTAATTTTTAATCTGATAAGTCCACTCTAGGAGGTACCTATATATCAGCATAAAGCAAAACATTTTTTGGTCATTTTGGATAATTTCTGCATATTTGAGGAGAATCCACTCATTCTACGCTAGCAATTTTAAATGAGCTTGTACAATATTCTTTGGATAAAGTGAAATCTGTGTATGCCTTAAAGCAGCGGTCTCCAACCTTTTTGGCACCAGGTATCAGTGCTCCTATGAGAACCTAATGCTGATGATCTGAGATGGAGCTGAGGCATTGATGCTAGCTAGCACTGGGGAACGGCTACAAATACAGATGGTTTCATTGGCTCTCCTGCCGCTCACCTCCTGCCGTGTGGCCCTGCTCCTAACAGGCCATGGACTGGTACTGGCCCATGGCCCAGGGGTTGGGGACCCCTGCTAAAGAACATAGTGCATGTTCAGTATCTGTGAAAGCTTATCATCAGTATCACCTCGTTCCCTGCCACCACAGCCTTCTTCTGCCTGTGCTCCACAGCACTGCCTCCCGTTGCCCCCACAAGCCCATCCCCAGCCAGGCAGAGACAACACTTTGAATTTGTTATTTAAAGAAGTAAGGAGTCCTTTGAATTAAGAACAGGACCAAAAGGAAAAACTAAAAATTATCTCAAAAATGGAGGCTCATATGCCATATGTCAGTGTGTCCTGTTAATCTGTACATTTTTGTATCAAAATCATCCTGCAAAAGTACCAATCTCAAATCCCCGTCAGAAAGGCTTGATCTAGAGTCATGCCACAGTTTGGGGTCTAGATTCCAGGTCTCCTAACTTGTTAGCATCCTCTTCTATTGGAAACATCACCTGCCACTTCTCTAAATGTAATAATGAAAGTTTGTTTGGTTTGTCTAACGCTTCTCTTTGTGGCCTTTAAAGTGTGCTTAAGGTATTAAAACCTTAGAAAGCTTCTCTTACTATCACATTCTCAAGCATTGGCTTAGGTAAACTATTTATAAGTATGTAGATAACAAATATTGAAAAATAATATGTATGTATGGCCCTAAGAGTTAGCTCATAGCCTAATTTTAGTTTGTTCTAGTAAGTGAAAAAGAATGTGTGGAATCCTCTTCTTAATGACTTCCAATTCTTTTTGGTCATGTTTTCTTTCTGGTTTAAAACTCATTGCTGAGGCTTAGGAAGATCTGTTTACTTCAACAGAACTAATAATTTCTCATTTTTAGCCCAGCCTTCAAGTGAGCCATGCAAAGTTACATAATTTGGTCAAGCCCAGTGTAGACTATGTCTGCCAGCTGAAATTCCCTTCCGGCAATTACCCTCCTTGTGTGGGTGACACTCGAGATCTGCTAGTCCACTGGTGCCATGGTTCCCCTGGAGTAATCTACATGCTCATCCAGGCCTACAAGGTACTGTGAATTTTCTCGTTTTAGAAATAAATTGGAAAACATAACATCAAATTCTATAATTTAAAATTAGTTTTATACATAATCCTTAAAGAAGCAATAGAAAAATCACTTGTTGGACCTAAGATCACTCATAGTGTCCATCTGTATCAGAGTAGACATTATTTCATTGACAAGTAGAGTAGCCAAGATTATAGCATCAATGGCGGAGCCATGATGAGTATCCCAGGAACTCAATTAAAAATAGAAAGAATTTGCCTCTTGCACTACTGGTGGGAGTATAAAGCTGCCATAGAGAACAGTTTGGCAGTTCCTTAAAAAATTAAACAGAGAATTAACACATGAGCCAGCAATCCCACTCCTATTTACCCAAAATAATTAAAATCAAGCATTCAGATACTTGTACACCAGTATTTACCCAAAATAATTAAAATCAAGCATTCAGATACTTGTACACCAATGTTCCACAGCAGCATTATTCACAGCAGCCTAAACATGTAAACAATCCAAGTGTCCATCAGCAGATGAATGGCTAGACAAACTGTAGTATATACGTACATTGGAATAGTATTCAGCCATACTAAAGAATGAACTTCTGATCCATCCTACAACATGTGTGAATCTTGAAAACTTTATACGTGAAATAAGTGAAGTCAGATACAAAAGGAAAAATGATGTATGCTTCCACTTATGTGATGTGATGGTTAATATGAAGTATTTAGAATGGTTAAATTCATACAGAAGGAAAGCAGAGTAGAAGTTATCAGATGCTAGTGCTGGTGTGAGGGGTCGGGGGAGGAGAGGGAAGTGGGTGCGTATTTAACACTTAATGGGTACAGAGTTTCAGTTTGGGATAATCAAAAAGTTTTGGAAATAGATAGCGGTGATGGTCATACAACATTGTGAATGTAATTAATGCCACTGAATTTATACTTTAAATGATTGAAATGGTAACTTTTATATTATGTATATTTTACTATAATAAAAAAATGCCAGTATCACTTCTAAAAAGCCTGCCATGGTAGAACTATAATCAAAGAAGAAAAGGCTTTTACTTGAGGGAAAAAAAAATAGAAGTTAACCAAGATATATATCTATTGATACCAAATCTACAAATTAATAATCTACAGACTGTAAATAGACACTGGAATCTCATAGTCTAAATAAGCTTTTAGTATATCAAATTTTACTTTGAGAAAGTGATATATAATGGAAAAACTTTTAAAACTGCTTTATTTACTTTTAAGAACACTTAGTTTGCAATGAAATATTTAAAATGTCTACTCAGAATATTTCTTAAGTCTTTGATCAAGATATAGGAGGCCACAAAAGACTGTAAAGGTATATCTATTTTTCTGACAAAGTATAGTGTTTTATAACCAAATCAGTCTTTATGAACAATTTAGAAGTAGTTTCTTCTCCAGTATGTAAAGAAACTTTCTTATTTTGAAGGGCATTGTTTTTATCAAAAAAGTTATCATATGTTCTTTGGAAAATACCTAATGATAACAGCAAGTTGCAGGTCAAATAACAGCTGCTTCCCCAATAACATCCACATATACAAGCACATACACATGAAAGTTAGTCCCTGCAGACAAGGTCATGAACAATTACTTAAAAAAGAAAACAAAGCTAGTGAAGTTTTGTAATTTGTTCCCACCTATATAACGCATATCTCTGTCCCTAAACCTCATATCCTTTCTTGCCAAGCCACTTGCCTCTCTCCTCCCTGCGGGAAGAAACGTCAATAGAATTTTCTTTTCTATCCTTTGTAATAAAACTATGTCCCTTGACTCTACAGGCGTTCAGGGAAGAACAGTATCTCCGTGATGCCTATCAGTGCGCAGATGTGATCTGGCAGTACGGGCTGCTGAAGAAGGGGTATGGGCTGTGCCACGGCGCTGCAGGAAATGCCTACGCTTTCCTGACGCTGTATAACCTCACGCAAGACATGAAGTACCTGTACAGGGCCTGTAAGGTAGGAGTCAGAACCGCCCTCTCCCAGAAAGGTCTCTGGGTAATCTGATTTCATTCATTTATTTTTAAACCACAGGTCTGTAGAACAAATACAGTTATTTTAACAAAAACCTTCAAAGCCATTCAGTTGAATTACTGTCCTTTAAAAGGACATAATTCTACTCAACAGCATTTAAGTGAGAAGAAAAGATGTAGGGTGGTTTTATTCCTTCCTTCTTTTTACGCTAACCTTGGAGATACGTGTCTTGGAGAGCTCGTTGAATTCCATGTTTCGCACTCTAGGCCATCCGTATTTCTGCATTAATGCCTGTTCTCTGCCTTGAAGATAGTTTTGACTTTTTCAGAGTAAATCTTAGGGACGGTCTCATTCGACTTTTAGGAGTCTTTGGAAGAAATCACTCCAGTAATTTAACTTGGTCTCATTTTCAGTTTGCTGAATGGTGCTTAGATTACGGAGAACACGGATGCAGAACACCTGACACTCCTTTCTCCCTCTTCGAAGGTATTTTTCACACACTACTTATATGCCTTATAATATCAGCATCAACTTCTCTGCTTGGTAATTAATGTATTTGAATTGTAGCTTTATCAACAAATTAGTTTTATAGTCGTTTCTTAAACTGCTTTTTTATTTCCTAATACAACAACGCAATAGTAAAAATAGGTTAGCACATGGACCTAATACTAACAGTCATAATGGTGACTACCACTCATGGAGCTAGGCACATACTGGGCATTTTGCAGATGCCATTATAAATCATCTCAGCAAAAACATACACGCATTATCCTAATGTCACAGGTGAGAAGATTGAGGCTCAGACGGGTAAGTGGCCCATGGTGCTCACGTATGGTAAATGGCAGGGCTGTGCCTTGAACTTGTCTGACTCCACACTCCCTCCTGTCTTCCACCTGGATGAAGAGGCTGAACACCTCACTAGTGATCTCTAATATTGAACTGTAAGGAATATAAATATAGACATGTCTATTTTATTTAAATCATTACTATTGAAATGTTATTGATGCTACAATATGAAGACACTCCATTTATAAAATGGGGCCATTTGGTGCAGTCACTTTTGCCTCTTTCTCTTCTTGCAGGAATGGCTGGAACCATATATTTCCTGGCTGACCTCCTAGTGCCTTCGAAAGCCAGGTTCCCTGCATTTGAACTATAAAAGGCAAGCCTGCCCCCAGCAACTCACTGCATGACCCTTTCTGTATATCAAACCTGAGCTAAGTGCTGTCATTGCTTTTCAAGGAAACAGAGTCAGACTGTGTACTTGATTTAGTTGGGGTTTTTTTTTTTTTTCAGAATTTGTCTTTAGTTCAGTTCTTTTTCTTTATCATTTACTTTTATTTTAAAATACCCAAGGAAATCTTTTAACTTCAGTTTCTTCCTAAAGGGAGTTTGATATGTACAGTATTTTGAGGGCATATGTATATATATTTCAGAAGTTGGAGGAAATCTTACTCTTATTTAAGCTTATGAATATAACTATCTGTTACTGTTCTAAAAATGTTTAAAAGAAACTAAATGTAGATAAACAATGTGAAATACACGATTATTGTCAAACATTGCCCTCTGCCTCTGCTCTTTAGTATTTTTTCTCCAACAGGACAGTTTTATGACTTTGCTTTTCTTTAGGTGGTTGATTATGAAAGGGGACAAAAAGTAACTATATGCTCCCAGGACAAAAATTGCCAGAGTTGTAAACTGTGCTAGGGACCTAAATACCATTTTTCAAATTCACAGTGTTTGTTTAAACTAGAGATAAACGTACTTCAGACTTGCTTCTTTTTGTTAATAAAGCATCCAGGCTCTAGCCAACATTTTTATCAAAAACTTTTAAAATGCAATGGTCATTGTGAAAGTTCTGATTTAGAGATTAATTCAAGATAAGCTAACAATAATAGTTTATTGTTTTCTCTAAAATAAGCTGTTTTATTTTGGAACTATCTATTTAAATTTGTTCTCTTGAATTAGTATAAGATCAGCAAACCAGTGTTATGTGTGTGAATATGTCGTGACCTAGGATTAGCACCCACCCTGTCTGACTGACTTTCTACACTTTGACTTGTGTTTTACTTATTTTGCAGTGACTATGTTTTAGTGCTGGCTGTTTGATAGAAGCCATATTTTCCTTCCTGTCAATTTCTCCAGACATTGGTCTTTTCACTAACAGTACAGCACTCTACTTCTCTTTAAAAGGCAGGATGGATGCCGTGTATATGTGTGTAGCCATTAACTTGAACAAAAACACTAAGCTTTTGATAGAAATCTAATGATCATGCTTAGAACAAATGAATCCTGCCTCTTTGCATATGTTAGGCTTAACATTCATCAATTTCTGAGCCCTCAGAATCGGATATTTACATAGTAGATGTAGAATGCCTGATGTTTCAGATTCTCTACAAATGTTTCGACTCAACAGCTCCCACTCCTCCCCCTTCCATTGCTGCCTTTCCCAGGTTTGCTTTGTCTTTTGTATATGTTTTGACTAATTTTATAACATTTTGCAGCTTTAAAAAAAACAGGGTCTAAGAATTTTAAATGTGCCTATTTCACAGCTCTCTCAGTCACAAAAATGTGCTATTTTTATTGGAATTTGAATCAAATGCCCACTGAGCATATGTAGGTTCCTGAAGGTAGCAGTCCCTTATTATTTTCCACTTAGCACCAAAATGGCTGATATTACTGGAAATTGTCAGACCCTATAAAGGCTACTGACAATAGGATCTAAAAAAACAGCCCACTGCTCAAAATCGTAGGATTAGCTTGTTCCTCTGTGACTTGTGCTGGTCAGAGACAAGCTCGTGCCTCTCAGATTTCTGAAGTGCTGCTGATAAGCTGTGTGTAAGTGCTGCCTTTCTCATGAGCGTTTCAGATCAACGGTGTCAGCATTCACAGTAAAGCTGATTGCCTTTGGCTGGGTGTCCAACTTGAAAGAATAAAACTCATTTGGTTTAACCAAATGTCTTACTATAATGTGCCTGTACTTTTAGCTACTATAGTTACTAAGGGAAAAAGAACAAAACACATTTTCTGTTATCCAGAAGAGACTTGATCACAGTGCTTTTCCAAACATCTTGATTAATTTAACCTCAGGAAGACTACAAGGCAGGGGGAAGAAAATTTTGAATGAAATTCTTGTTACTATTTGGATGACTATTTGGTTACTGCCATCCATTAACAAATCCATCAGTACAAACACAATGCAGGTTCCGTTTTTTCTTTGGCTTTTTAGGACTTATTAAACTGGCAAGATTTTATATTTGTAGCATTGTTTGGTTTTTTTATGCTTAACAGCTAGGAAAGTCTGATAGGATTTTAAATTTAGTCAATGGCTATAAACTAAGGCCAGTACCCTAACACCATGGTAGAAACTGAAAGAAACTTTTACACTAACTTTCTTAGTTTTAAAAGGAAGAGGCATCTTAAATGATATTATATTTCTGTTATATCGTTTTCCCTCATATATTTTTCTCTTTGGCAAAATAAATAAATAAATCCCAAAAGTTGCCTCCCAGAAAACTCAATAGTTTCTTCTATATCCATGCAAAGACTAGGTAGTAAAACCTTAAAAGCTTGTCATAGTGTTCATTTATCCTGTCATGTGTTTCTTTTCCTATAGTGATGAAAAATTATAGAGTTAACTTTTCATCCTGGAACAAATGTTAACATTATCATAACTATTTTGATTGATCCCATTGAGATTTGGTCTCATCTGATTTGTCAGTCTTTAATCCTTAGAGTCATTTGGCTCCTTTTTCATCTTTGATGTCAATTCCAATTATTTGGCATCAGAAGTCATCACAGTGGGTAGAGTGTTAGGTGAAAGTGGATCCAAGGCCATTTCTTCTCCTTATTATCATTTCCCTATGTAATTGAATTGAGAGAGATCCTCTGTTCCTATGTCCTCAGGTTAATTTGTGTCTTGTCTTATGATCCCTGCCTTCTACTAGCTGATTTTGAAATACAAAATGTGGAGAGTAAACGTTTATTTATTTGCTCCTTTGGATACTAGTACTTGTCTGTCGTCCTTTATTACTCATACTGAATTCTGATTCCGCTTCTACTTCCCTTTAATAGGTCAGAGCACCTCTTTACTGGATTACTAAACTGTAGAACTGTTTCTCTCCTATAGGGATAACATACAGTATTCAGGATATTCAAGGAACGCACCCCAATTTTACATTGCCATTTGTTGGGAAGGGCTGAGACTGTATGTATTTCTGTATTCTATAAAGGATTGACTTACTGATTCTCAATAAAATTTTATTAGGACTACATAATGTCATGTGCTTTTTGTTTGCTTTGGTTTAAACCTAAGAAATATTGTCCTTCTATGGTAAATGATGTCTTTTTCTCTATACACTCATTCCCTAGGGTTTATTCTTGACTTACTTCATTGTTGGGTCAAACAAGATTTTTAGTACCTTCTGAAATGTATTAGAGGAAAATATTTTTAACTCTGACCATTACAGAATTGGGAGGAATCTACTAGGCTTCAAGCAGAGCAGTATATTTTATACATATGAGGATCCACCCTGTGGCTTAGAACGAAAGACCTAATTCTAGAAATTGATTTCCCTGCTGACCAGTTCTAAAAGGAACTTTGAATAGAGGAGGAAATTAAAGAGGCTTAAGTATAAAATGTATATGCAGAGGTTGGAAAGGATTTCTGCTCAGTCACCTGGCATAGTTTTGTACCACTTATTTTCATGACACAGCTATGTAGTGTTACTTAGCACAATGGAGATTTGCCAAATTTTAAAATACTTGTTTTCATCCCTGAATTAGATTTTGTCATTTGGTGCATATGATTAAAATGCCCTTCAAACCCCTAGTCTGAATTCAATACTAAAGATAAATGCACATTTTTTGTTTTACTTCTTTGACTGAATGAAGGTTATAGATGGTGGTATCACATCTTTAGATGCGAGCAGCGAGGCATGGAGAGGACAGTGCCTTGCAGAGGCCACCAGAGACTCCAGAGTGATGCTTGGAACATTCCCACTAACTCTTCATAGATTACATTTCAATTGGTAAAACCAGCTAGCATTGTTCTCTGGTTTAGCACTCCCTGGCTCATCTTCCTACCAGAAGAAAAATAATGACAGCACATTAAATTGCACCACAGTTGTAATTTCGTGAACAAACAAAATTTGAAGAAGTCATTTGTCTCCTGCAACTTTCCCATAGTAGTTTATTTTTCTCCTGACTGCATTAGAAAAGACCTTTGCCTCCCTCCTCTTCATACTCTGTGAATAGAATCATAATTTTTGTGTCATTTCTTTTTCCCTAGATAGTTCCCACTGTGATGTCACTGTCATTAAAAGTGTCATGTGTTTTCTACTCTTATAACCATCATTTAAACTCAGAAAAGCCTAACGGTCAGTCTGCTGATTATTTGCTTTCTCTTTCTGTTTCTCATCCAGACTCACTCTTTTCCTTCTAAAGCTGAGAATGAGTTAACAAAGTGAGAGAACCTTGGCTTTTTTACAGTGGAGAACACATTGGTTTCATCGGTCCCATTACGTAAACTATTGAAACACTATTTTCCAGAAGCCCTATTCTAGTGCATCCTCAGGGACTAATTTGACAGTTTTGTGAGTAATGGGAGAAAGCAGCAAACACAATAAACCAAGAGGTGAAATAATGAGAATAGAGAAATGGATCTTAGCAGGACTGCTGCTCATAGTTTAATTTCACATTTCTACATTATGTTACCTTTTCATCCACATGCAAATTACAACCATGGTGACATTACATCTACAGCTAATGTTCTATCACTCTACAAATAAGTGTCATAGAAAGCATTTATGAAGCACATAGCCGTTATGCAGAGAAAGGTGGGATTCTTGATAAATCAGTTTATAAAGAAATGTCACAGTCGCCTAATTCCTCTTCTCTGATGGAGCTGGGTTATTAAGAAAAACACTTGTATCCCCCCAAAATACTGATGTGGCTCATTGTAAAAGTTGATGTTTAATATTGATCTCTTAGGATTCAGCATTCGGGAATTAGCATGCACTCTCTCGCTGGTATTTTCCAAACTGCTGGCATTGTCTGTTTATATGGCTGCAGACATGCCATTTTATTTAATCATGCCACGAGCAATGCTTTAAACTGTTTTATCCCTAAATTCATTGAACACCTGTATGTTTGTATGCAGGGTGCCTAGTGGGGTTGGTGGGGCACTGTGTGCATGAAATGGACGTCCTCACTATGACAGCTCAGAGTCTAAAGAAGACAAGTGATGAGACGAGCAATTACAGGGAAATGTGTTCTGATATTATTGTTAACCCCTCACCTACCCTTTTCCTTGTTCCACAAATTTCAAGAATGCCCGGGTCTCTTGTGTGACCTGCGGTTTCTGGCTATATTTAGAGATAATGGAGTCTATAATCCTGCAGGGAGAAGACACTTTAAAAGCCACTCAGCCAGCCCAGAAGCACTTAGAGCTCTTTCATCTGGACAATCTTAACGATGGGTGAGGTGGAGGGAAATTTGAGGACAAAAAGTCACTTGCCCCCAAATTATTTCCACTTAGCTGGCTGGCTTCTCAAAAAAAAAAAAAAAAACAGCATTATTAAGGATTTAGGTTAAGTCCACTTCCTTCAGGAATCCTATTAAAATGCATTTCTTTTCAAAGAGATAGTTCATCAACCTGCTAATACTCACTAGCACTTTAATAACTGGTTTATGACCTACATATCAATTAACTTGAAGAACTTCAATCTAAACGGTATTAATTGTGCTGTTAGAATATGCTAGGTAAAGATAGCATCTAGCTAGGATTAGAAAGATAAGATGATCTCTGTTCACAAAAAAAGTTTAAACCTATAGATAAATCTAAATAAGTAATTTCAATGTGATAATAGAATCAGACCAGGACTGGCTTTTTGTAATGGAAGGGCAAAGAAGTATATGAGAGTCAAAGAAACTTATTTTTAAAAAAATCATTTTTGAGGTCAGGGTTTTTCAGCCATTAGTACATACAAATCACTTGGTGATCTTGTTAAAATGGTTCTAATGTGCCTGTCTGATGGGGCCTGAGATTCTGCATTTCTGTCAAGCTCCCAGACGATGCCTGTGCTGCTGTCCACAGAACCTGCTTTGAGTATGATGAGTCTAGATAAATCGCTTATCTGGATTGCCAGCATGGAATCCTGACTCAATAGCGAAGAAGGAAGGAAGGTCAGGAGTTAGCTGAGGAGCTGAAAAGATTAATGTGTGTGCATCAAAGAGCATAAGCGCTACGAGCAAGAGCATGATAGGGCTGGAGTGACTGGAATCTGATTTCCGATGAGACATAATCTCGATGCAGTACCATCTCGAGGTACTATCATCAATTTTCTGTGGTAGTGATTGTAGTGAGTGAAAGAAATGGACTTGGAACAAATACGTGTTTATAATTTTAATGGGAGACTGACCAAGGATTTAGAACCTTTTTCAATCCAAAGAAATATAAGCTTCTGGTAATACGAGAATCATGTGGACAATATCTATATTAAAAAATGAATTTGTGCCACCTGGAATCATCAAGGCTTGTATGAGGAAAATTAATACACCTCTGCCCCTTCTTTAGAATTTATAAGGAACCTTGATTAGCCAACCAATTTTTTTTAAGGTCTCTTTTTTTAAAAAAGCACATCAATCTCATTCTTTTTTCCAATTATTTTTCTTAGCATGTTCTGAGTAGTAAATGTACTCTAGTGGTGTCATTTGTCCTAATTTGCCATCACCTGTCATTTGTCATGTTTCCTAAATGAGAATTTCATAAAGTGATATGGTTCTTTAGCACCTCAGAGGTCATTTATCCAGGAACACTTCAATGCTTAAGAACGGGGCTGACCCAAGAAGCTTGGAAACTTCATTAGAAATAGGAAAAACCCATTAGTTCTCCTAAATAGAAAGGCTAATACAAGTGAGTGTGGTCATACTCCCATTCGTATAAGCATATTCCCTGGGTGTTCTGTACTAGTAATCAATCCAAGTTTAGATGACTCATAACCAGTGCATTTTCTATCGCTTCTAACAGGGAATGTGCACAGTGTGTATTATTTTATCTTTTACAAGTTCATACCTGCCCGGTTAAAAATTGAGTTACAGTCATACTTTATTAAAATATATCAAAAGACCCTCTTGTAGGTCTGGCTTTGAGGGCTTTTTCTTCTGTTTCCTTGACAAAAGCCAACTTTATCATCCTTTCTACCCCTCCCTTCTTTGAGTTGTCCCTTCACCTGAATTTCTTTTCAGTTAATAGTGTTGCCAACTACCTGGATGTTCAAGCCAAAAAAAGGTAAATTACCTTTCTTAGACTGTTGGTTCTCAAAGTGCAGTTTCTGGAGCAGCAACAGTAATTAGCATTACCTGGAACTTGTTAGAAATGCAAATTCTGGGGTCCACTCAAGACTTTCTAGGTCAGAAACTGATGGTGGGGGCCAGCAATCGGCTTTAACAGTCCTCCAAATGATTCTGATCCCAGTCAAGTTTGAGAACCACTAAACTTAAAAATAGTGAGGTTAACATTACAGGTTCTGTAAACATTTAATTTAAAATTTGCTGGTTTCAATGTGCTATTTTCCTATTGTATTTTAGAATATACACACACACATATTTGTAAGCCCGTGAGAAATTCCTGGTACAAATGCAAAATAAGAAAAAAAATGTGTTTTGCTTAATGGATAGATGATATTGCTCTGCTTTGTTCACTCCGCAAAGATGTTTTTGGAACAGTGAGTACAGCACAATTGTCTCACTGCTGAAAGAGGAAGCGCCATGGATAGAATACTTTCCGAAATAATCTGTTTAGATATATGTCTCCCCAACCAGACCTTGTGCTCCTTGCAAGAAGGGGCCTTGTCCAAGTACTGACTCACTCTGTCTAAAGCATAGAGGGTGCTCAGAAAATCTGTTTTAAACCACCACACTGAAATATGGTTCCACCAGCTAGAGCAATGGATGTAGAAGCCTTTACTTAGATTTATTACATGCTGATTGATTATGTTTAGCTTAGTTCTGTTTTCTGTTTCATTTATTACAGCTTTGCTTGATTGGTTCAATTAATAGTAACCATCTAATTAGTAAAACCTGAGCGTGAGGTTTAGTAATATAAGGAAAAACAGATGTCCAGCAGATGTCAGTAGAGCTCAGTTTAATAATTTTGATTGTTAATGAATTTGAAAAATTAATAAAGATGATGGGAGGGAAAATACTCGGACCCAGAATAGCACTTCTCCAAATAGTCATCTCCATGGGTAAGATGACTGTGATCAGACGTCTG